TGACTGAAATTGTATAACGTATGTTTGTATTTGAAATAGACAGTAGTAGGTTAGCTTAGCACAGTGAATTGGCCAGATGTGGGTGAAGGAGGAAGCTGTGATTCCCAGCTGGAGTGAGAAATAAGGAATACAGTACAGAAGAGAGTAAGCCGTTAGGAATTAAACCAAAAATATTGGGAGTGATGAATTTCATTGGCAGAGGCAGGTGCAAAAAATGTCCTAAAGGCTGCTTGAAGAATCTGGAATGGAATCCAAAATCCCCGAGTCTTAGACTATATTTTATGCCAGGAAATAGTCATTAAATCTGCTAACAGAAAAACTGCTCAATTTCTCTATTGCTAGTTCACACAGCTGTTGTAGGTTATGATCTCGTATTAGTTGAGAATGCCAGAATCTGTGCTGCTGCTCAAAATTTTTGTTTCCCATTCTCCCTATGAGTATGCATTATAATTGTCTTTAATTACATGTTCACACACTTTCACTGAATTCTTATTCAATTTAGTGCATAGAATGGATGGTATTTAGAGAATGAATAAGTTGTATAGTTAATGAAACTGTTGTCTCTAGGGTTTCTTTTTTAACTTTCAGCAGAAACTGAAAGTCATGTAGTGAATGAAACAGATAAATGGAAAGGAAGAAGAATGATGATATTCCAGCGTAGGCTGTTCTAGAGAAATGAAGATTACTGTTTCTTATTCAGAAGTTTTTTAACCCAGCTTTTCATGCATCTGCCCATGCTTTGTAAAAGTGACTTTTAATCACTTCTATGGTAGGCATCTCAGAATAGATTGTCAGATGCCAACACAATGAAAGAGGGAAAATGACGTAGATAACTTGTTGGAAACGAGAATAGAGAGCTCATCGCTATACACTGTGCTGTGTTATGCCACAAATCAGTTAAAGAGTTATATCTTTTTTCAAAATGGTTGAAGGTTTAAGAGCTTTCAGCAAGTGAAAGATACTAGTAAATATACTAGCACTTTTTTCACCAATAATTCAAAGGAAATACTGTTTTTCTCCATTTCCTGGTATAGTACTGTGCTGTACATTGGTCTTGGCTGGTCTGTTTCACTCTTTGAGCTCGTTTCCTGTACAAATCCCTTAGAAGAGAATGTAAAGCAAATATTAAGATTCTTATTGTCATGTGGTGAATGTCGTTTTCACTGTTTATTCACTATTGCCCTATTTAATGATAGTGTTTTTCTCATGTACATGTGATACTTCATGTGAAATAAGCACATCTAACAGAGGGGCCTTGAATGCAGCATGGGTGGTAGAATTTTGTCAATGTTAAGGCTTACTTAAAAACTGCAGTGTTTGCATGATATAAATAGTTATATTTTTGTAATGAAAGTAGATACCTAAAAATCTTTTCAGCATTTTTTAATTTGTGCTGGCCTGGCAAAATGTTGGGTTTAGAAAACATAAAAAGCTAGCTAGCATCATCTCTTGGTTCTGCCTTGTGCTAAGGGGTTGGAACAGGCTGCCCAGAGAGGTTGTGGATGCCCCATCCCTCGAGGTGTTCAAGGCCAGGTTGAATGGGGACCTGGGCAGCCTGGTCTAGTATTAAATGGGGAGATTGGTGGTCCTGCTGGTGAAGGGGGGCTTTGAGATTCATGATCCTTGAGGTCCCTTGCAACCCGGGCCATTCTGTCATTCTGTGAAAATACTGAAGACTTTGAACTCAGATTCTATTGCACGGATCTGGCACCAGGGCTTTCCAAGTTATAGGATGCTGGTAGTCCTAGCATAAAGTAACACCCATACTGAGTTAAAAAAAAAAAAAAGTCCATCCTCATAATTCACATCCAGTTCTGTCTGAACTGAATGTAGGTGTGACTTCACTGATAGCTTAGTATGAGAAGGAGTGAAAGATAGGAATGGACAATAATTCTCTTTTTTTTTTGTTTAAATCATTCAAAGTGATTATTTTTTATATACCAAACATGATTAGAAATACAAATAAACTTGCTCCCGAACACAATGTATTTGAGAAATTGCAGTTAAGAAAAAAATAATACGCAAAACTTTTATATGAATAAAGAAAGTAGTAAGCTCCCTAGAGTTTATGGGGTAGAGGTGGGAGATGGTAAGTCTTGATTGGCTGCAGAAAAGATATCCTTCAGTTTTAGCTGTGGTGTTTTATCTCCCACTTTTTTTTTTTTTTTTTTAACAATAAGAATAATAAAAATAACATTCACTTACTAATGGATTTGTTTTCAGATTGCTATGATACTACATTGATGAAGAAGGTGGAAAAATACAAGAATTCAGTTCAGAAAGAGGTTTAGGCATTCTTCCATAAATCATAATAGCAGATATTTAAGTATGAGAATTCAGAATTATTGTTGCTTCACTTTGATGATATGAACCTGTAGTATCTTGCATTATAGTACTGCTATTACATATGACATCAAAACATAAATGTGCACAAAAGCAGCTCAAATCCTTTTTTCCCCTCTTTACGGGACAAATATATGTGGGCCTTAGTTGAAAATCTTTGTTTCAATTATTTGTCTTAAATAAAAAAAGCTTTTTTTTTTTTTTTTTTTTTTTTTTTTACAAAGAGCAAGTAGACTGTTTCAGAATTGTCATTTTCTTGATCATTTTATTTTCTGATTTCAGCTATCTGTGGAGTCCAAAAAGACTGAATTTTTACCTAAAATTTAATTTCAACATTCTTTCTGTACCATCTATAAAAGACTGAGCTTCCCAGCCAATATGTTTATCTTCCTTTGCCAAACATTTGGGATACTAGGATACACTGCTGAGAGCACTGCAAAGGGAAAAACATCTAATAAGCTGTCAAGTCCAGAATTATTGGTATTCTATTGAAGAAAAAAGCTATTGTACTTAAATACATGATATCTATCAGTTTGATTTGCTTTGTCTTAATGGCAATTAGAGCACAAAAAATTGAAACTAAAATGTTTTGTTCTTCTGAAAATAGATAAACTTTGAGAATATACTGTTTCTGTTTTTGAATAGGAAGTAAACGGAAGGTCAAGGCAGCAGTGATTTTATTGCATCTTCTAATTTAAAGGACCATTATAATTATTTGTTGTTGTTGGTTTAAGTGGTAAGACTGAATTCAAGGGAAAGACTTCTGAAACATTTAGTCTCTACTAGAGTCATCACATTGCTTTCAGTTTCATAGTTCGCATTAGGATCAATAAAAACAAACAAACAAAAAAAACACCAAAACAAATCAATTCCAATTTCAAGGTTTGGGAGAATTCTGAACTGTTAGAAACTTGGATAAATGTTGCAGCCTAACTAGACAGAAATAATTTTAAGTAGTTCACACACTAACTTTAACATTCTGAACTTCCTGTTTTAATGTTTTCATGTGTCATCTTAATTTGAGGTATATTCCTGCCTGAAAGGAAGATTGAATGTTCAGCAAAGTCTCATATTCATGCAGTAGGCATAGAACTATCTGAGGCATGTTTTTTTTTTTTTTTATCTGTCTCTTCCACATAAGCATCAATGAAAAGATAGATTCTGGGAAGATTTGTGTGCAACACAAAATTTACATAGCTGTAAGACTAAGGAAGGTTGGTAATTTTTCATAATCAATCTGTTTAAAAAAAAAAAAATAAACTACCATTTCTTCAATTACAATTCTTTGTTTTGTTAGGTTTTGTCATGACCTTTATGTTCAAAAATATTCTAATGTTCAAAATTATTTTTGTGAATCTGCAATTGAGCAAGTGGAATTTATCTCTTATCCTGCAAACCAATTATAGTAAATTACAGTCATTCAGAACCTAAAGACTGTAATAACTCTGACAAAATTATAAGCAAACTAATGGGTCATTTATTATCAGATAACTTTGCATTCATTGAAAGTGAATACATACTCAGCTATTTTTCCTTTCTAGCTTAAGAGTGGGAGTTAAAACAAAGAACTCAAAAGATAGCCTACAATATTACTGTTCTACAGTTCTACCTCATACCGTATTATTTGAGATCTATTAGTTTGGCATTATCTTTCACCAGTTAGAGAAATGACCGAGTTAATTTTTATGTCAATGGAGCACTTTCTAGTATTTGATAGGTTTCCATCAGATGAGCATACACTGAGTAATATTAACTTGGAAAAAAAGAACATGCATTATTGCTGTTACTAAAAAGAGTATCTGTGTCACAAGTTCACTGAGTTCTGTGTAAATATTTTTTTATTTGTAATTTATTTTTATTGTATGTATGTGCAGAGTAAAATGGAGATACTGAATGTGTGTTTTTTTCTCCTAAAATATGAAATAGAAAACAATTATAGCTTATGCAGATGAATTACTTTGGAAATGCATATTCGAAACACTTGTGAATGACTCATTTTTTGTTATACAGCCATTGTACCAATGACATACAAATGTAAATATGAGTTATCAGGTGTTTATACAGCCATTGTAGAAGACTACAAAACACATTCAGAATTTAGGTTCTTAATATGCAAACGCTTTTAACAGTGTTGTTTATGGCTTATGTATTCTTTCTTCACATGCATATTGGTCCATTACTTAAGAGCCTTCAGCTGCATGTCAGAAATTGGATGCTTTTTTTGACAATTCCCATCAGTCATCAAAATATGGATCAGATGTGCATCAATAACAAGTCTATATTGGTTACTAGCTTTGCATTTTGTCATGAGACTGAGAGGAGGCACATTTGCGAAGTTTTTAGAGGAAAGATTGAGTGATGCTTTCATTTTCTGCTTGCATTGTTTTCTGTATCCTATATTGCATTTTTCATCTATGATCAACCTTCTTAATCTATGAAATCATAGGGAAAGACATTCTTAGTAAGGAATAGGGTCAGCAGTGGTAACCACTGTGATTAATATCAATGACAGTAAAGCAGTATCTAAAACTCAAACTACCAGGGAAGTACGTTGCTAAATTTTTTTTAGCTCTGATGAACTTAATCCAAATAGAGTTAGGGCAGGATGAGGGAATTGGAGCTATTACTAATTTTTTATTTTAACTTATGAGACACCAGGAAACCTAACTGCAGGAAGACCTTCCCCGGCTGACAAGATATGTGAAGATGTAAGCCATCAAAATAACTTATTTTCTCACTTTGGTTCTGAGTTCACTTTTTACCACGGTAGGAAATTAGACCTTAAATTTGTGAGTGCTAATTAAAATGAAATGGAAGTAGAAGACATTAAATTACCTGGTCTCAAACAGTAGGGCATTCACGAAGGCTGTTGATGTAATCTACCTAGACTTCAGCAAAGCCTTTGACATGGTCTCTCACAGTATCCCTCTGCGGAAACTGGCTTCCTGTGGCTTGGACCGCTTTACCCTCCGTTGGATAAAGAACTGGCTGGAGGGCCGTGCTCAGCGGGTGGTGGTCAATAGAGTTAAGTCTAGCTGGAGACATGTTTCAAGTGGTGTCCCCCAAGGGTTGGTGCTGGGGCCCATCCTGTTTAATATCTTCATTGACGACTTAGATGAAGGGATTGAGTGTACCCAAGTAAGTTTGCAGATGACACCAAGTTGGGAGGTGATGTTGATCTGCCTGAGTGCAGGGAGGCCCTGTGGAGGGGTCTAGATAAGCTGGATCGCTGGGCTGAGGTGAATGGGATGAGGTTTAACAAGGCCAAGTGTCGGGTACTGCACTTTGGTCACAATAACCCCATGCAGCGCTACAGGCTTGGGGATGAGTGGCTGGATGACTGTGAAGAGGAAAGGGACCTGGGGGTGTTGGTTGATGCTCCACTGAACATGAGCCGACAGTGTGCCCAGGTGGCCAAGAGGGCCAATGGTATCCTGGCCTGCATTAGAAATAGTGTGGCCAGCAGGAGCAGGGAGGTAATCGTCCCCCTCTACTCAGCACTGGTGAGGCCGCACCTCGAGTATTGTGTTCAGTTTTGGGCCCCTCACTACAAGAAAGACATTGAGGACCTGGAACTTGTCCAGAGAAGGGCAACAAAACCGGTGAGGGGTCTGGAGCATAAGTCTGATGAGGAAATGGCTGAGGGAGCTGGGATTGTTCAGTCTGGAGAAGAGGAGGCTCAGGGGAGACCTCATTGCACTCTACAACTTCCTGAAGGGAGGTTGTGCAAAAAGGTCTGGCGTCTTCTCCAAATAGTAAAAAAAAATATAGTAAAAATAATAGTAAAAAAAATAGTAGGACCCGAGGAAATGGCCAGAAGTTGTACCAGAGGAGGTCTAGGTTGAACATTAGTAGAAACTTTTTCTCTCAAAGAGTGGTCAGGCACTGGAATGGCTGCCCAGGGAGGTGGTGGAGTTGCTGTCCCTGGCAGTGTTCAAGAGGCGTCTGGATGAGGAGCTGCGAGATGTGGTTTAGTAGCTTGTGGTACTGGGAATGGGAGGGTGGTTGGACTAGATGATCTTGCAGGTCGTTTCCAACCTTGCAATTCTATGATTCTGTAATGCATATAAATTTGAATATACATTTTGAAGCACTCTTTGGTATATCCGGTATACCATTTCTTCCCTTCTCTTATTTTTGTGACAAGCAGAAAAGCCTATAGTAGTTTTGCAGTGATATAAAGCCTGTCAATCAGTTTGCATTTGTTATCAGATGCAAATATTTGTAGATGTTTTGCTTTGTATCTATTTTCCTTAACCCTACTGTTTAATTCTCTGTCCAACTGAAAGATTATGACTTTCTAGCCATAATCATTCCTTATAAACTCATTTTTAAAGGGCGTAGCTAGGATTTGCTAACTGATGGTAGAGACTTTTTTTTTTTTTTTTTTTTTTTCCATTTTTGGCTTCTGTAATTATTTTTATATCTTTTCTGTTTACTGATTCAATATGATCTTCAAAATGCTAGTATCCTTAATGCAAAGAAATTTTGAAAAAACAAAACAAAAAAACCTTTATTTCCATGGTGTCCTCCCAAACCTGCATATGGGTTTTTAGAACGAGGACAGGATCTTTTGAGCATTATGGACTATGCTTCTGCCATTCATGCCTTTCTAGCATTGACGTGGTTGGATCCTTCTAAAGGAAGGATCTCTATGAAAATGCTATAAAGGCATTAATGTGGTGATTAAGGTGATTTAGTTAGCTGATGAATAAATACTTCTCTAGTTCTTCATAGATTCTCACAGGACTAAACGTGAAGAGCAATGACTCAACCCTGACTGAAGAGAATAAGACTGCATGCAACAGCAGATAATCCTCAGATGTTTAATGCAATATTCATTTTAAGTAACTAAGGATGGATGAAAATATTCTGCAACTTTTTAGCTGTGTTGATGTAGATTAATACTATAATTGAGCAGCAAGTTATTTGTCCAAGCTATGGGAGTATATCGATAGTAATCTGAAAGGAAATCATATGTTGTTTTTTTTTTTTTTTTAAATGCATGTCATTAAGTTTTTGCATTTCAGATTAGAAAAAGAAAATTTTCTTTGTCTGTGATCTTGACAATGTCTTAAAATTTTTCATTATGAAAATCGCATTACCCTATGCCTGAATTAAATGGGGAGGTTGGTGGCCTTGCATGTGGCACAGGGGTTGGAGATTCATGATCCTTGAGGTCCCTTCCAACCCTGGCCATTCTGTGATTATTTGAATACACTCCAACAGGTCTATGTCATTCCTGAACTGAGGATTCCACATCTGGATGCAGCACTCCAGGTGAGGCCTCAGCAGGGTAGAGTAGAGAGGAGAATCACTTCCTTTGACCTACTGGACACACTGGTTCCCCATCCAAACTGTCCATCTATCTAACCTATTTCTTTCCAATTTGGAGAGAAGGATGTTAAGGAGATCATGTCAAAGGCTTCACTGAAGTCAAAATAGATGACACAAGTGGCACTTCCCTTTTCCACTGATGCAGTTACACCATCTAAAAACCAGAAGGTTGATCAGGCAAGACCTGCCTTGGTGAAGCTATGCTGGTTATTCCATATCACTTCTTGCTCTTCCATATGCTTTATCATAACTTCCAGGAGAACCTTCCTCATGATCTTCCCAGGCACTGAGGTGAGTCTGACAGATCAATAGTTCCCCAGGTCTCCCTTTTTATGCTTCTTAAAAATGGGTGCTATTTTGCTTTTTTTTCCAGTCACAATGGGTTTCCCCTGACCACCGTGACTTTTCAAATATCATCACAAGCAGCTTGGCAACTAAATGAACAAATTCCCCTCAGGACTCTGGAATGTGTCTCATTGGGAACCATAAGACTAATAGATATATAATTATTTGAAAAACTTAATTGCTAGTTAATTTTTCTAAAGCTAAAAGTGATTCAGTTTATCTTACAATGAATAGACTATGTGCTGGTTTTTTTTTTTTTGTTGTTGTTGTTGTTGTTTGTTTGATGTGTGTGTTTGTTTGTTTTGCTTTTTCTATTTCCATTATTGAACTGTTCATTTAATCTACTAAATAAAATGGCTTAATGCTGAGTTCCTAGTTAGTGATATTTGGTTTTTCTATTTGGAAAATAATTTTAGTTTTCCTGTACAAAAGGAGCTATATATTAATGTCAAAAACCTAATGAGTTTTTGAATATTATTGGCAAAAATTGTGAAATCCTCAAATCTTAATGTAAACCAAAGAAGAGGGGAAGCTTTTGGTGTGGATTTGTGTGTTTGTTCTTTTTCTTCTTTGTAGACTGGGAGACAAAAGGAATATAATATTTGAAGATAGATTTAAAATGATAAAATCATTTGCTGCACAGGATCAAGGAAAATTTAACAGCATATTAAAGAGTTGGTGCCAAGTGTGATTAAAAGAATAGCTTTTTTTTTTTTTTTTTTTTTTTTTAAGAAAAGAAAGGGCTTCTGATAATTTATACTCTTAGTTTTTAGGATTGACAGCTTTTCTTATCAAATTGATAGGTTGATGAAGATCTTGAGTATAAGAGCATAGAGAAATAAATATTAATATAAGAATTTGAGAATTAAAGAAAATAAGAACTGTCCAGGGTTGCTCTGAGAGGAAAAAAAATGAATAAAAGTCTAAGATGACTTTATTTGAAGGTTTCTGAGGTTACAGTCAGGAATTTCTACGGATGTCAGAATTACATATATTGAAGGCAAATAAAAGAGAAATAGGATAGCATAGAATCAATAATATTGTTTTTAGAATCAATAATATTATTTTTACTATTTTTACTTCTATTATTTTTACCTGTTTCTTAATATGATTTCTTTTCCTGGACTGAAAAAGGATGGAGGTGAGAAGTGTAAGGAACAGTCTCTGGATAAATGAAGCAAATCTGAGCTAGTCTCCATGAAGAATTTTGTTGCAGAGAAGTTGAAATGTTTGAGTTTCTCTTTTGCTGTGAGTAAAGTGAGCCAATACAGTTAAAGAAAAATTGGCTGATTTTTTTTCAAAGCACAAATCAATAATTCTCAGCCTTGTCTTCTTGCCTTAGATAAAGCTTGCAACTCTGCAACTTACTTTTTGTATATATTACAGATAAGCAACAGTAGCTGTGTCACAGTGACTGTCCCAGGGAAGACAATCACATGGTGGCATTTAAATGTAGCTGTCTTGTATGTTAAGTACCAATATCCTTAAGATAATTGTAGAAAAAAAAAAGATTAATGGAAAGCTGTACTACTGGGCAAGAAAAAGAGTAGTCTAAGTAACTACCTACTGTTGTAGAATGACAGACAATGCCTTTTTACTTGTGGTCAATTTTTTTCTCCAGAAATTTCTCTTTTAAAAAGCCTGGTTTTTATGATGTTGGTATATTTTAGTATTGACATCTAAATTGGAAGCGAGGGCACACAGTGGATCCTCAGACAGTCCTCATTCCCAAGTACTGCCTTAGGTTACGTCCTAAACCCCTGTGCTGATATATCCAGGTGGCATTGCTTTGATCCAGTCCCAGGACGATAAGAAAAGAGAGGATAGGTCCTTAGCAGGTCCCGGTACATCTTTCAGTGTCAGAACAGAGGATAGCTCATCCCTTGCTGTGGAAATCCAGTCAGTACTGAGAATGGTAATGTGTAAATGAAAAAAACCTTACTGTTCCAGGTTATCTCCAAGTTTTAGGCCTATCTTTGGTTTCATCTGGTCTGAAACAGCCAATGGAAAATTTAAGTAAGTTTCTCAGCTCTTCATACTTATTAAGTTTACTGCTTAGAGCTTTAAGCTCTGCATGTTGCCTTTCCACACTTCCTGTTAGAAACTAGTTTACAATAATCCAAACCTGGAGCTTATCATTCTTGCCTCAAATTAGTAAGCTCAAAAGACTCCTTGTTCATGAACTGCAATATCTGATGTAGTAAAGGATTGTCCCTGAGAATGGTGCTGAAGTGCAGTGCTTCCTAATAGTAGTGGATTTTTTTAAAAATATGAGCTCATGAGATGCTGTATAATGAATGAGTATACAAATAATTATAATTAAGAAATAGCCAGAAAAGTTAAGCTAAGAAAGATTATTGCAACAGGAGAATAATGAATGGAAAATGCTTGCCAATATTGTAGGCTCACAATATTCTCTACAAGGAGTGATATCCAGGAAGAGATCCTTCCTCAGTGGTGGTCAACTACTTAAATGGCGTCTGGGAGAAGTGGAGCCAGGCTCCACCCCTTCCGGCAGCACAGGTGAATTGCCTTCACCTGTGCTCCCCTGGCTGACTCATTTCTTGCCTCAGATGATCAATCAGATATTCAGGCCGTGACTCAGCAGTTCCCATACACATGTCAAGGAGATGAAGTTAAACAGAAAATATTTCACAGTTTTTAGAAGCACAAGAATATAAATGTACACATAATATGAATGTCATACATATGTTTGGTTTTGTCTTTTAGATCATTTCCTTGATAAATTTATCCTTAATCTTTTTATGTTTTCAAAGGGGATGAGGAGTGAGAAAATTCTACGTTTGATTATTTTGCCACACTTGACTATTTTAATCATCATCATCTGCAGTTGATATTCTTCTACTCATTTGTAGACATAATTATACAAATAAATGTTAAGGTAGCCATCTTCTCTATGTTGAAAGAAGCTAAGGTATTCCAAGCTTGAAGTATGAAAGTGGCAGTTTTAATTAGAAATTAATTAACGCTGTTATTGTGTAACTAATAGATTGAGAATGGCAATGTCATGAGCCATCAATTACAGATTACTGTTAAAAACAGAAGGGGCTGCATGGAACATGTTGTAATGTCTCAAAAAGCCTCAGGCTTGGTTATTTTCCTTTGTTACCTCATCCACAAATATTTATCAGATGGTAATGTCATTCTAATTGATTGAAAATGGCAAACAATATGTTCTTAATGAATTGTTTTTAACTCAAAACTGCTTACAGTGTATTACTATAAGTTAAGGTCACTTATTTTTCAAGATTCTAAGGAAAAAAAATCCTGAATTGCAGACTTTCTGGGTAACAGAAGACATCTAAAAAACTTTACAAATCACACATACAAAACAAATTCTAGAGTTGAAGTATAGCAGCTAAATTCCTATAATTAAGAATTACTATTACCTTGTGTGAGCATTAACATTACATGCATTACAACATTACAAGCATTACAACTGCAAGTGAAATATTTCTTATTTTGGTAATATTCTGCTTCACTATATGCTGCTGATTTACTTTTTAGAGTAGGGGGGGTGGGCATGACATCTCACTTTCCTTCCTGGCATATCTGAATAAGGATCTGTTTTTAATACTTAAATCTATGGTGCTAGTTACACAGCCTGTATATTCTTCTGATTGCTGTTAATAATGACACCCACACACACCTTCATGACTTCATGTTTTTAGCTTCATATTTGTCTGGATTTAACTGTAAGCTCACAGCCTTGCTCCCCTTCTTTATAATCTCGTTCATGAGTGACCAAAGCCTGTAAAACCAACTACATATTTTGTACATTCTTTTTTAAAAGTTGGTTATGTGATTAATGCACACCAAGCACTTGATACTCATAATCACTGAGAAGCAGTGGGTCACTTCTGCTGGTGCAGATTTGTGTAAGCGTGGTGTGCAGGCTCTTGTTCGCTGCTGGTGGAAAATGCACAGCTAACAGTGGTGACTGTTTTAAAAAAAAAAAATAAAAGATGAACTTGCTGTATCAAATAGTGTTATTTTTCTCTTTGTATCTGTAGTAGATTCCATAGAAATAAATAGGAGGCATTACTTTCGGAGCAACTGACATATTTGGTTTCTTCTATTTGATTTCCATGAGAATTCTCTTACATAAGCAAATTACTGTATAATTTTTCCAGATTCTTTTTGCAAATACATGTATTTTTTCCTAGTTAACAATGTGATGTGACCTTTATTAACCCTTTGCATATGCCGTTGTGGACTCTGTTTAGATTTCACTGATGTTATCTTGAAACTCAAGGATTTTGCATAGGTAGCAATTCTTGAAGTTTCAGTAGAAGTTTGTGCTATTATGTAACAAGGGATATTCATCCGCAAAACAGTTGACTTTGCAAAAGTGCCACAACCCTTTTTTTCCTTCTGATCTATCTCCTGATGATGTTTTAAAAGCAGTTAGAACACATAAACTCTGAAAATTGCTATCTTTGTGAAAGTACTGTTCCAGATTTACTTTTTCAAACTGTATAGCTGAGTTTTATACAGATTTGATTTTTTTAAATTAACATAGCTAGATGAAGACTGTAGACTACAAACCATTTGCATAGCGCCTAAGTCTAATACAGAAGCAGTGTGAGTCATGTCAGTGTAACACTGAATTATGTTTATTGCTGCTGAAAGACAGATGACTACCTGTCTTTCATGTGCATGGTGTTCCTGCAATATGATTTCCACATTGGATTGTTTTGTATGTCTGGATGGGCTTGGGTGATAATCAGATCCAGAATGCACTTGTAAGTATGTCCTTAAGAGAGAAAATTCTTAGGGTCAGAACCAACTTAGACGTTTTGTACCTTTGGGAATGCTGATTATATATTTTTATGTGGTATATGAGTTTATGAGTTATTCATTAAGGAGACTGAGCTGAGGTGTCTTATTTCCTTCACTATAAATGTTTGCTGTAGCTTCTGCATTCCATTCTGAATTTTAGATTAGTTTTACAACAGAGTTAAAATATTGAGAAAACTGCTTAAAAAAAAAAAAAGACAATAATTGCATTGAATTGATCCTTTTTAGCTGTAAAATAACTTTATCATCTTATCCTCTTTTCAAATACTCATATTATTCAGAGACTCTTAGTTCTTATTAGTTTCTGCCCCTTGACCCCTTTTTAAGAACAATAATTAACTAGTAATATATTGCTTTACATGGAGAAGATCAGTAAATGAATATATTTTCCTCCTTGTAGCACTTTTGAAGTGAAGCCTATGGTTTTACTGCTATTTCACCCATTCAGTTCTCAGACCTGCAAGCCATATTACTGTTGGAAACATGTCTGTAGGAACACTTCAGGGGCTGC